GCTTTTATATTTAGCTAATACTATTTTTAAAAGGAGAAAATATTTCTTCCTGAAGGGATTATGGGAAGCCTTATTAAAGACACCTGCAAACAAAACAAGTGACAACAGATCTTTATCATAAATGATAACTGAGTTATCCTTTAGATAATACTCCTTTCTTGGAGACAATAACATTAGGATTTAACCTCTGCTGTAGATTCAAGAAAATCAGCTAATTGGGGCCAGTAGTATTCCACAATGTTAAGTTTACCAAGATGACGTGAGTGGATAATAAAAGACGCCCTTGTCTCTCTGGTTAAACAGAAGTACAACGAGACTAGAATTTTCCCTCCTCACACTGCTAAGAAATGTTTTATATTGACATCAAGTAGCATCCATCCCTCTCCCTCCATATGTGAGGCAAAACACATGAGGGATTCTAATTATGATGGCTCACTCTGCTAAGCACATAGTGGGCCAGCCAGCTTTGGAAATTCGATCTTTGCCTAGCTTGCAGTTGCAAAGAAATAGAAGCTTTCACAAAATATTCTCGAAGTAATTAACAATCACTGTCAAAACGTGTACGGACAGTCATCTGCATTCTATGAAAACCGTGCAACTGTTTTAGTGACTGCTTCTCGGGGAGAAATAATATAGCTAAACCCAGCAGGGCACATGTTAAAAACAAGTTTGCAAAAGAAACAAAATCAGAGGTCCTTGTTTGATACTCCACCGGTGAGTCTCAACTTACTTCACCTCGGTAAACGGTGGATGCATTCGCCCATCGGCTATGCTGTTTGTTCATTTGCTGCCTTGCTGTGTAAGGAACAGGAAATTCCTGTAAGCATTTCAAGCCTATGACTGATTTTTCTGACATAGCTAATTTTCCAAATTAAGTAATTTTGGTTCTTTTTATAACAGTGGCTCCAGAGGAGATTTGAAGCATCTGAGCACTGAGAAAAAAAGGGTGGTTAGAGGGACCACATGATCAAGCCAAAACTGCAGACCCCAGCTGTAGAAATACTGGCCTTAAATTCAACGAATGACTAGAACTACTGTTAAGTTGGCACTTATAAAAAGTCAAAGAGGTTCAAGTTTCATAAAGTGTTAGCAACAGCAGCTGAGATTTTGGAATATGTATAGTTTTTAATAGATGCATTTCCAAAATAAATACTTGGGAAAAAAAGATACCCCAGCTTGAGCCACCGACAAGTAGACAGAATTAAACAACAGGAAAAAACAAAATAAAACCAAACCACATGAGCAACAGTACTGAATAAGGAGATGAGAGATGAGATGACCCAACATTATTCTTTAGAGCCTCAGGTTCACAAACAAAAGAAATGCTTTACAGAAGGTATTTCTGTGGGATTGTTGTTTTTTTTTCAAAGACAGCTTTAGACTTAGAGCTATCAACGCGTGAAAACAAAAAAGACATTTTCTGAGTTGACTTTGATCCTGTACTCAAATTGGCTTAGATATCCTTGCCTTTAAAGGCTTTCTATCTGCAATAACTGCTCTCTATTGTCCTCGTTAATAAAGTATTATTTTCACCTTATTATTACTAATCTTTTCTTTGTAAGTAACCACACCTGGTTTTATCCAAAAAAAAAAGTGCTCTAAGTATTTGCCCTTTGTGGTAATACAATGCATAATTTAGTTAATCTAGGCTATCTTTCCGTGAGAGGTGATTGTTTCTATATTGTGAAATGTGTTCACAGTAAAGCGAAATCCACGCCAGATACCTAGAGGCAGACAGAGAGCCACTTACCAAGCATGAAGCTACTTCAAACTAACCCTGACACGACTGTATAGCCACTCCCACACACGAGGTATTACTCAAGCCAGCTTAGCCTCTGAATTATAACCGCTCCTTTCTTTTACAAACATAGCCTTTTATTAAGTTAACATTACACATAGCCAGGCCGAGCGCCTCACCCCCACCCCCCATGAAAGGGGCTTGAAAAAATAGGAACTTCAGGTTTCTATTTGAGAACCTGACATTACTCTCAACGTTACCTGGATAAAATCTAAAAATGTCAGCGGCAGCAAATCATCCAAGTGTCCAATGTCTTTGGAGAAACGATTTAAAATTCTTCCTGCAAGAACAGGATATGAAAAATTACTCATTTCCCCTGATAGACCCTTTAAGAGAAACAATTCGCAAACAAATCAAAACAATATTTTAAATGCATATGTATTCAATATATTTCGCATTCATATGAAATAAGCCAATGTCAGCAGTTAAGGAAAAGAAAATAGGATGATACCTAAAGAGAAACAAAAATATCATCAAATGGCAGTGGGCAGGGAGTTGAAACGTGACCCTGATTTTAAAGAATCAAGGGGAAAAAAATCTTGTGACTGTATCAGAAAGGGTTGGTGGGTTCTAGAATGTTCCCTCATTTTAAGACCCAATCGAGGACTTCAATCCAAATGCAAAGTAGGTAGATGAATGTACATAAATTGATCCTAATCATTTCACTAACTCTGCTTTATTTATCAGAATTTCTTTTGCTAAGTGGTGTATTTTTATATAAATGTAATTGTAAACCTTCATTTTTTTTTTTTTTTCCTCAGCCTGGTTGATTGCACCTCACACTTCTGGGGAAACTTGGGATCCTATCATTTTTCAAGCTGTGAGTTTACTACTGGCAAACAAGGTGTCATTTTCAGATGTGCAAAAAGTGTGACAAAAACAGGCTTATTCTTATCTAAGAACACAAGAGGAAATTATGCAAGAAGACAGAAATATTATTTAATGATTGAAGAGTGATGCTTAGCATCGACTTTATTTCCCCTGTCAGGTAGAATCCAAGAAAACAGTATGTCATAAAGGTGTCAGAAACAGATCAAAACTGGTTTCTAATAAATATCTATTCTTTCAAATGATTTCCTTCAAAAACATGGAAGTTGACTGGGCACGGTGGCTCATGCCTGTAATCCCAGCACTTTGGGAGGCCGAGGCAGGCAGATCACGAGGTCAGGAGTTCAAGACCAGCCTGGCCAACGTGGTGGAACCCCGTATCAACTAAAAATACAAAAAATAAGCCAGGCGTGGTGTCGCATACCTGTTATCCCAGCTAGGGAGGCTGAGGCAGGAGAATCACTTGAACCCAGGAGGTGGAGGTTTTGGTGAGCAGAGATTGTGCCACTGCACTCCAGCCTGGGCAACAGAGCAAGACTCTGTCTCAGAAATGAAAACAAAAAAATGAAAGTTATACACACACAGCCTATGTGGATGTAGGCGACCCCTGAGAAGTATGTGTGTCTAGGCCTCTGAACTTCTTTTCTCATTAGTGCTTCTGGAAGCACTCCTTACAGATGAGATGTGCAGCCTCCTGTGGTTTAGGGTTTGTCACAACTGACCTTGTCCTGGGGCCTTCATACCAGGCTGTAAGTGCACACGAGTGGTCAGAGGCTGGGGACAAAGCTGCCAGGACTAATGTAGCCTATGCAGTGTTCCCAAGGTGCCCAGCTGGCCAGGAAGCACAGGGTATGCAAGCCGGAGCTGCACCTCAATTTTCCCATCTCAGGCTTAGGACAAGCAGACTCCAGAAAGCATCACTTTGTGACACCTTTGGCAGGCCCAGTGACAACTTTTCTGAGCCTCTAATAACACCTCCTTTAGAGGATTGTCCTAGGGATTAATGGGCTCATGCCTGTTATAAAAAAAAAAAAAAAAAAAAAAGGGCCAGGCACAACGCCAGGTACTTTTTCACGGCTGCTAAAAAACCAAAAACAAAAAGGTGCGATGATGACTATGACCCACAGGCTCTGCAGCATGCCACCGGGGAGGAAGCTCGCGTGTTCTAATGCAGGCCCTGATGCAGTGGCCCCGGGGAGGAGCTGGAGCCTCATTTCCAACCAGCTCCCAGGGCAGGGGGCCCCTTCTGCTGTTTGCCAGACCACGCTAGGCAGGGCGAGAGATCAGCTGTTATTTTATGAGCTATACTTAAGAAACATTAAAATTAGATGAGTATTTTTCCTACAGGTTCTTAGGGATTTTGTAGTCTGTCTTGTTATTTTTTCTCACTGCAATGAACCAATACCGGATCAAGGAAAATATAAGTTAAAAAATTAAAGACATAATTAAAACACGAATTGTTTCTTAAATGGAAAAGTTAACATTTTAACATAGGCAGTATTCAGAAACATTCCAAGTAGTATGGTTCGGTTTTTAAGAAGTTGAAAGCAATATTCAAATTTTTTTTAAAGGATAGGCCAGGTATGGGGCTGATACCTATAATCCCAGCACTTCTGGAGGCAGAGTTGGGAAGAGAGCTTGAGCCAGGAGTTTAAGACCAGCCTGAGCAACATAGTAAGACCTCATCTCTACTAAAATACAAAAAATTAGCTGGGCCTGGTGGCTAATTTTGTAGCCACCTGCAATCCCAGCTACTCAGGAGGCTAAGGCAGAGAACTGCTTCAACCCGGGAGGCAGAGGTTGCAGTGAGCCAAGATCACACCGTTGCTCTCCAGCCTAGGCAACAGAGTGAGACTCCATATCAAAAAAAAAATTTAAAGAAAAGAGAAATTCTTCCTCTGTGTCAATAACCTATAAGATAACCTTGTCATATTCATATATACAACTATTGCCCTTTTCACGTCCCTTCTATACTTCCAGAAGTTAAAGAACAGCTGGCTCCTTTCTACTCAAACGCATTAAATGGGAGCACCAGCAATCTTTATACAGGGGATTGCTGTCTGCTTTGCTCCTCGCACTTTCCCCAGTGCCTAGACCAATGCTTAGTGTATATATTGGTTTTATTTTATTTTTTTAAGGGGGCGGGTCCTGCTTGCTCTTGCCCAGGATGGAGTACAATGCAGTGCAAGCCCTTCTGCTACAAATATTAAGTGGCCTGTTTTCAAATTTCAAGGCCCTAGTTGCAATGCTTGATTACTGTATTCAGTCTTTCTGGCATGTCACCCTCGCCACTGTCTTTGCACTGTTGAGCCGATTTATTTGTTTGCGTTCCTTCAAAGGGCATTTGAAATACACAGTTACAGACTAAGTCTGGATACAGCAACAGAAGCCGACATGACGCATGAAAGCATCACAGAAAGCAAAGAAGCCCAACATTTCAGAAAAGGAAGAGAGTAGGAGAGGCGATGGCGGACCCCAGGTGCCGGGTTGGGGTTCGGGGTGAGGAGGGAACCTAACAGAGAAGGGACAAGGGATGGAAGGACATGGAGGAGACACAGACCACAGGACGGGTGGAGAGCAGGCAAGGAGAACAGGTAAGAAGCACGGCAGAACAGACAGAACAGGAAACAGATCACAGGCAGAGATAATCAGGATCTCACAGGTAATCAGAAGTGGAGGAAAAGTTCTGGCCTAGCCATGGCCTCGCCTTATTTAATTCCTCTGAAGCTAGGAACTCCTCCCAGACCATAAAGGTAAAGTCATGTAAGAGATCTTTTATTTACATGGTAGACTTAAAAGGGTGCATCTAGCCGAGTTCAGTGGCTCGTGCCTGTAATCCCAGTGCTTTGGGGAGCCAAGGCAAGAGGCTTGCTTGAGCTCAGGAGTTTGAGGCTGCAGTGAGCTATGATAGCTCCAGCCTGGGCAAGAGCAAGCAGGACCCTCTCCCTTAAAACAAATAAAATAAAATAAAAGGTGCACACTAAGCCAGACCATTTTCTCCTTCCTTCCTCCCTTTTCTCTTTCTTCCCTCTCCCTCCCTCCCTTTCTTACGTTTCTTCATTTCTTTCTTTTTCACTCTTGCTGCCCCATTTCACTGCAGTCTCCACCTCCTGGGTTCAAACAATTCTCCTGCCTCAGCCTCCCGAGTAGCTAGGATTACAGGCATGTGCCACCACGCCCAGCTAATTTTGTATTTTTAGTACACATGCAGTTTCTCCATGTTGGTCAGGCTGGTCTCGAATTTCCGACCTCAGGGGATCCGCCTGCCTCGGCCTCCCAAAGTGCTGGGGTTACAGACGTGAGCCACCGTGCCCAGCCAGCCAGTTTCTTAAGGCACCAAATTTGGCACACAAGTCTAGAAGAGTGAACTCAGCAACGTGCTTTGGAAGAAAACTGTAGACAAACCCTCCCATAGAAAGACTCTCAATGATCACTTGTTGCTTGTCACAGCAAATGTGAATGAAGCACCTATAGGGATGAAGCACCTATAGTTGCTCGTCTTTACTCTTCCTGCCCCACCTGAATGCTTACAGGCCAAAGATAGAACTGTGGTTCCAGGTAGCAGATCCTGGACATGACTTGTGCTCGCTACAGTGGCAGCTGTGGGATAAAGGCAGGGAAAAGCCGTTTGATGGGGAAAGCCACAGGCAGGCTCCCGGATGCAGTGGGAGAGTGGTCCCAGCAGCAGGGCAGACACTTTGTACTGAGAATTTTGTATCTCCTAGGAATTAAGCTAGAATCAGGACTGCAGTAAATCAACTAGGGATTATAGTTACCCTATAGTGATGTGAAGGAATGCCTCTCTAGAGTAATTACGTTGTATTTTCAAAGTGCAGTTGTTTCTTGCCTTGTCATAGAATTACAACATATCTTTGAAAAAGTAGTTTCCAGGTTTTATTACATGACATGACAAATTGGAGAAAATGAGTTTCAGATGTATGTATGTGTTCTTTCCTTTTCTAATCAGATCCTTCCCATTTGATTGACCCCCAACTGGAAGGTGTTAGGTGAGACTGTCTTCACTAAATGACTCAGAAAAACCCAAATGGCTTCAAGGCAAAAGGCAACCTCATCATCTGTTATCTATCCAGCTTTGAGTTTTCCTTTCTCCAGGATCAATAATCTCTTACTTTGCACTCATTCCTTCCCTCCTGACACCCATCAGGTAAAACACCTATAATCACTCATCAGAACCTGCTCACTGGAATTAAAATTTTACTTGTCTCACGACTTTAAATTGATGTTTGTTTGATGTCTCTCTGGAGTTTTTTTTTTTTTTTTTTTTTTTAAGACAAATTCTCACTCTTTCACCCAAACTGAAGCACACTAACGAGATCTCAGCTCACGGCAACCTCCACCTCCCAGGTTCCAGCTATACTCCTGCCTCAGCCTCTCAGGAGGTAGCTGGAACTACAGACACACACCACCACATCCAGCTAATTTTTGTATTTTTAGTAGACACGGGGTTTCACCATGTTGGCCAGGCTGGTCTCAAACTCCTGACCTCAGGTGATCCACCCACCTTGGCCTCCCAAAGTGCTGGGATTACAGGTGTGAGCCACCGCACCCGGCCCTCTCTGAGTGTCTTATGATCACACTGGTGGCAGGTTAATCGATACATACAAGTGAGCACAGCATGTAGAGCAACACAACCCGACTCGAGCACACACACAGGTGGCAGAAATAAGAAAGCATGGACCATGCCCAAGGCAGGTGGCAATCAGGAAGGCACGACAGCAGGGGGACATTGCCAGCTGGTGGGAGTTAGCCGGGTGAGGAAGGGTCAGCCCTAGTGGGAACAGGGCCTGAGAATTTGGAAAGAGGGCCGAGAATGTGTTGATGAAGAACGCAGACTTTGATCAGGTGGAAGGAATGACATCCGTCAGGACCAAGAGGTGGGAAAGAACAAAAGGATGACAAATATTTGCCTAGTTGATGGGAAGAGCATGACCTAAGGTGTGCTAAGATAGGAGACGACCTGGGTGTGGAATGGGAGTGGAAAGGATCAGGTGTTGAAGGCCTCTGCTGAAAATTCCCTGTACTCACGGCTCTTCAAAGCCATGTTTGTAAGGAGGAAGCATTTAGGAGGGGCACAAATGCAGTTAGGAGAGATGGATGTTTTACCCATTCGACTTCGCTGGAGAAAGAGGTCTGCAGAAGATTGCCAAGGAGAGCCATTCGGCTTCTGCCTCTGGGTGCACAGATGGACCCCACACAAACTCATCCCAGTGCCTTCCTCACTGAGAGCAGGGAGCTGGACAAGAGTTTTTTCCTTAGGGTCATCTTGGTTCATTCACTCATGACTAGAGATGTCATCCACTGATGCCAAGCAGGGTGGCTCAAGCCTATAATCCTAGCACTTGGGAAAACCAAGGGGAGAGGACTGCTTGAGACCAGGAGTTTGAGGATACAGTAAGCTATGATTGCACCACTGCACCCCAGCCTGGGCAAAAGAGCAAAAAAGACCCTCTTTCTTTAAAAAAAAAAAAAAAAAAAAAGGTCAGGAGCTGTGGCTCATGCCTTAGTAATCCCAGCCAGCACTTTGGGAGGCCAGGGGGGTGGATCATGAAGTCAGGAGATGGATACCATCCTGGCCAACATGGTAAAAACCTGTCTTAACTACAAATACAAAAATTATCTGGGTGTGGTGGCACATGCCTGTAATCCCAACTACTTGGGAGGCTGAAGCAGGGGAATCGCTGGAACTAAGGAGTCGGAGGTTGCAGTGAACCGAGATTGTGCCACAGCACTCCAGCCTGGTAACAGAGTGGGACTCTGTCTCAAAGAAAAGGGGCTGGGCACAGTGGCTCATGCCTGTAATCCCACCACTTTGGGAGGTAGAGGCAGGAGGATCATCTGAGGTCAGGAATTTGAGACCAGCCTGGCCAACATGGCAAAACCTCATCTCTACTAAAAAATGCAAAAAAAAAGAGAGAGAAGGCGGCCAGTCGTGGTGGTGTGTGCCTGTAGTCCCAGCTATTCAGGAGGCTCAGGAAGAATTACCCGAACCTGAGGCGGAAGTTGCAGTGAGCCGAGATCATGCTGCTGCACTCCAGCATGGGTGACAGAGTGAGACTTGATCTCAAAATGATAATAATAATATAAAGTTACACCCTAATCCAGACAATTTTCTTAAGGAACCAAATTAGACACACAAACCTGGAAGAGTGAACTCAACGCTGTGTTTGAAGCACACCCCACAGAGCAGTAAATTAGTGTTGCAAATCATCTTTGGCACAGGGTATACACCATCTCAAAACTATGACACAGATACTGCTGCCGTTTTACAGAAGACACAGTGGAGGCTTAGAGGCAGTAAGTAATTCATTCCAAGATGCCCGGCTGTCAGGCATCCAGGCTGCGACTCACACCCAGCTCCCGGAGGTTCAGAAATGGGTGCTTATGTCAACACCTCCATGACATCAAGCTGCTTTATTGGACACATTTGCAAGTTCTACTAAATGACTACTAATAAAAGTGAACCAATAAATTTCCAGGCAGGGCTGACACAAATGACGATGGCCAAAGCAGCCGCTGACAGCCCAGGCCCCTTCTGATTGCTACTGCCTGCCGCACTGGATGGTCAACACCTTGACTATCACTCCTGCTTAGAAGAGTTTCAGGAATTCTCTCTTGGCTAATCAAATTAAAACAAATAATTAAAGTGAAACATTTAAAACAACTCCACCTCAAGATTAAATTACGCAAGTTACCGAAGGCTGTAACTTGTAACAAGTAAGTAAATGAATGAATGAATGGGGACATGCCATCTAAAAAAGACAGAATTGATTAGGAAAGTCCAGGGGCTCCAGTTCCACCTCATTCCAGGCCTTAACTCGTTGTACGACCCAGGACAAAGCCAAATCACTCATTGCTAGGAAGTATTGTGGGGGATTATCCTTGAAGCCGTTGAAAACACCTGATAAACTACCTCAGGAAACCATTTTGCTACAGCAGCTATGCATGCTTTGCTACAAAAAGTGATCATTATTTTACATTTGTTAAGTGTTAAAAAGAAAAAGTTAAGAAGACAGACCAGGCCATTTCCTTTGATGCTTGTTACCCATGGATCTCAAGGACACACCAGGGAGGAGTGAACCTGGCCCAACCTCATAGAGCGTCAGGGAGGTACAGACCCCTGGACAGCAACAGTAGAAGGATTTCCAGGACGGCTGCTCTCCAACACTACATGGCCAACAAATGCCACCAGGTGTTTTTGCTTGGAAATGCACACGTGTGCAGTTTGCATACGATTTCAGGGGATTCCTAAACCAGGAACCACAACACAGCAGAGCTTTCGTTAAGAACCTCTGATTCTAAAAGAAAAAGAAGACCGCCAATCTCTTAACCTCTTCTGCTACAGGAATGCACCACTTTAATCCCTGAGACAGACTTTTTACTGGTCCAGTATCCCGTCACTATTGTTCATGGCTAAATGCTCATGGAATATCGCCAAAAGAATGAGTAATGGAGGGGTAAAAACAAGGGCCTAGAAATATCCAGCAGTCTCCAAGAATGTGTTCCCACAGAGAGGGTGGCAGCAACGCCTATTTATAAAGCACTCACCTAGACAAGGAATTTCCACTTCCACAAAGGCAAGTATCAGATTCAATAACTCAGATTACCTTGAATGGAAATTATCATTCAGTGGGCAAAAGCGGCTCTATCTCTGATTTACATACAAGTAAATGTAATACTCAAAAATAGGACAGCAAAACATTTGGTGTGAGAACGTGACTGAACTTGAAGACAATGGGCCCTCCCACTACCCACCCTATGTAAAGCACCCAAAGGTGTGCTGGAAATGGACCAACCAACACCCAAATCTGATCGCTAGTTCTATCCTCGGCTCATCATTTTAATATCTGGGAACCGCCAACAGGTAATACACAAAACTAGCTATGCTGTGCTCAATAAAAATGCCTGAATTTCTGTTGGAATACATATGTGTGTGTGTGTGTGTGTGTGTGTGTGTGTGTGTGTGTATGTATATATGTATGTATGTATATGTATATTTATGTACACCATTAAGAAGCAAGGAGAAAAGAAAAATTATCCACTGAATTTCTTCTTTAAAAATTCAGATAAAATTTGAAGAGCTAGAAATACTATGATAATTCTTACTATTCTACATATGCTATCAGTTATAAAAAGCTGAAAATACACATTACCTCTTAGTCAAACTATCATCTTCACCTTAGGGGGACTCTTCACCTATCCAAATGCCCCAAAAGCCTCTGCAGTCCCATTCCTGCTCCTCTTCACACCATGGTGTTCACCAGTCATTTAGTTTCTAAACCCAGCAGCCAGCTTTTCCCTCATTCTCATTGCTCTTGACTTTCCCTGCAGCATGTAATACTGTTAATTATTGTCTTTTCAAAAATATTCATGGATGCTGGCTTCGGGGATACAAATTTATTTTATTTTATTTGAGACAGAGTCTCTCTCTGTTGCCCAGGCTGGAGTGCAGTAGCATGATCTTGGCTCACTGCAACATCTGCGAATAACTCACAGGTTCAAGCGGCCTCAGCCTCCCAAGCAGCTGAGATTACAGGTGTGCGCCACCACGTCCAGCTAATTTTTGTGTTTTTAGAGAAGAGATTTCCCCATGTTGGCCAGGCTGATCTCGAACTCTTCAAGGCTTCAAGTGATCCACCTGCCTCAGCCTCCCAAAGTGCTGGGATTACAGGTGTGAGCCACTGCGCCTGGCCTGATTTTCTTTCTTTTAATATCTGTCTCTTTCCACCCCTGCTACCCTGCCCATCTGCTAACTATAAGTGGTGCCCCCTTATATCTGGAGGCTCCACCTCTCAGAACTCTATCTCCCCCATGGCGATCTCACGCCCTCATGGTGCTATTCTCCAAGGACAGCAACGCCCAAACCAGATCTTGCGATCGCTGACTTTCTTCTACCTTACTCTTACTGTGCCATGCATCCTGCTGGCTGACCTCTCCCCTAGACATGGGAATGTCTAACATGTTTCAATTGTGAACTGAGAAAAACCTCAATCAATAACTTCAAAGGATTTCAACATGCAAAAAAAAAAGTGTTACAAACTTATGCTATAAGTTTGAGTTGCCAAAACACTTTTTATAGTCTAAGAAAAGGTTAAAATCCAGATTCTGTCTGAATTTTTGATCCTCAGGGATCTTCTTGAGCTCTGGGCAGCCACAGAAGTTGGCCCTGGTAGTAGCAGGGAGTCCTGAGGGCTGAGCTGACCTCCCCA